TTAAAGAGATGCAGAGATCAGATATCTCATTAGGAAGTATGAGGAGAAAGGCGGCTGATTCCCTAGAGGATAGTGGTGAGGATTAAAATGCAATCTTTTGGGATAATGGGATCCTCAAAAGGAAATGGAGATCGTTGGATGCCGTGCGCTCTGGTGTCCAGGTTATTTTACCTGGAATTTTAAGACCTAAAGTTATCGAGTTGGCTCACAAGAGAGCACTCGCAGGTCATTTGGGTGTAGAGAAAACGAAGGAGCGAGTTTTAGTTTCGTTCTACTGGCCAGGTGTGTTTAAGGATGTATCCATGTATTGTAGTACTTGTGATGTGTGTCAGAAAGTGGCAAGGCGGCGTAGTGAGGAAAAAGCGCCATTAGTGCAACCTCCGATAGTGGGTGAACCTTTTTACAAGATTTCAATGGACGTAGTAGTTCCCTTGTCAAAGTCAAAGAAAGGGAATCGTTTTATCCTTACAATCATGGATGACGCGACGCGGTACCCAGAGGCTTTTGCACTCAGGAATGTGGATGCTGGAACGGTGGCCGACACACTTATTGAGATGTTCTCGCGTGTTGGATTTCCGAGAGTGTTTCTAACGGACCAGGGTACAAATTTTACCTCTGAACTGTTGAAACACCTGTACGAAGTCACAGGTATCAAAGGGATCACTACATCGCCGTATCATCCACAGGCAAACGGAAAGGGGGAAAGGTTTAATGCCACCTTGAAGGCTGTCTTGAAGAAATTGTCAACCAGCAATCAGGAGGAATGGGACACTTTGTTACCTTACGCGCTGTTCGCGTACCGGGAGGTGCCTCATAAGGAAACTGGGTTCTCGCCATTCGAGATGTTGTATGGTTGGCCGGTTCTTGGTCCATTCCAGATTTTAGAGAAGGCCATGACAGGTGAGGCTGAGATACACAGAAACATCGTAGATCATGTGGTATACATGCGCGAACGACTGGCCGAAATCCGAGACACAGTGCACGAGACACTGGTCATAAAGAGACAAAAATCAAACAGTGGTATGACCAGAACGCAACACAAAGGGAATTTCGTCCCGACGAAGAAGTATTATTACTACTGCCCTCAGATAGCTCCAAGATGGTAGCTCAATGGAAGGGACCTTACCACGTCATACGGAAGGTTAACGATGTTAACTACGAGATAAGCGTAGGCGGTCGTCGAGGGAGAGTCGTGTATCACATAAATCTACTCAGAAAATACAACCGAACAGTACCTCAAATAGGGTTTGTACAGAAACAAACAAACCTTGATCCAGCAGTTGATTTTGGTGATAGTATGGATGAAATCACAGATGTCAAGTTAGGTGCAGGCCTAAACAGGTCACAGCGTTGTGAATTACGGAAGCTTTGTGAGGACTTTCGAGATGTCATAAACTCAGAACCAGGAAAAACATCTCTCGTTTCACATAGCATCAAGCTAACAAGTGAAAACCCCATAAGGCAACAACCGTACCGTATCCCTCAGTCAAAACGTGGGGAAGTGAAGAAGATGATAGATGACATGTTGGAAAAGGGTCAGATATCTCCATCAGCAAGCCCTTATTCAGCACCGGTAGTACTCGTGGAAAAACCGGACAAGTCAATTAGACTTTGTGTGGACTATCGCAAATTGAATGAGATCACACAATTTGACGGATATCCCATTCCGCGAATAGATGACATATTTGAGAAACTTGGTCAAGCAAAGTATTTGAGTACCATGGATTTAGCCAAGGGCTACTGGCAAATTCCGTTAGCCGAGGAATCACAAGACAAGTCAGCTTTTGTGACTGAATTTGGCCAATTCAAATTCCATGTCATGCCATTCGGGATGAAAACGGCGCCCGCAACTTTCGCGCGTATGATGGATAAAACACTGAGAGGACTGTCAAATGTTGTCGCATATTTTGACGACATCGTAGTTTTCAGCGAGACATGGGAGGATCACGTAAATCATGTACGTGCAGTGCTGCAACGGCTTAAAAGGGTTGGTTTGACTGTGAAACCTTCTAAGTGTATTCTTGGTGAGGAGGAATTGTACTGTCTAGGTCATGTGGTCGGTCATGGCTCAGTCAAACCAGACAAACGGAAAATAAAAGCAATGCTCGATTTTCCACTTCCACAGTCCAAAAAAGGAGTAAGATCGTTCCTTGGGATGACGGGATACTACAGAAAATTTGTCAAAGACTACGCGCGTATTGCGGAACCATTGACAAACATGTTAAAATCAAAGGAGCCAACGAAAGTAGCCTGGACAGAGAACCGTGTAAAAGCATTCAGGGAATTAAAAGATGCCATGACACGAGCACCAGTTTTAATCAACCCCGACTTTAGAATGCCGTTTTATCTCCAAACAGACGCGAGCAATATAGCGATAGGGGGAGTTTTGAGCCAAAAAGTTGGTGAGGATGAACATCCAGTCGCGTACACGAGTCGCAAGTTACTCCCACGCGAGGTTAACTATTCAACAATAGAAAAGGAATGCCTAGCGATTGTATGGAGTATTGAGACATTCAGTTATTACTTGAATGGTGTGCAGTTTACCGTGGAGACTGATCACAACCCTCTAGTTTGGCTAGAGAAAACCAAACTGAAAAACCAGAGACTGATGCGATGGGCTTTAGCATTACAGCCCTATTGTTTCGAAATCCGTTATAGGAAAGGTTCGAACAATGCTAACGCGGACGGGTTATCGCGCATCGAGTGAAAAAAAAGATGACTTTCAACTTCATGGATATGTAATCCAGTGTAGTGATGAGTGTGGACAGTTCAAAACAATGTAGTAAAATTCTTGCGTAAATTCTTATAGGATTAAATTTCAGTAATTCACAAAAGTGTGCAGACTGTGGAGATTTAATTGGACATGGACAGTTGATCTGGCAATTAGTCAGTTGTTATCAGAACAGTGTGTGGGTTACTTGATTATGTTCTAAATACCTATTACCACTGAAATGTATCTTAAGGGGGGAGGTGTTAAGAGTGAAATAATGATCTGAAAGTCAAGTGGTAAATTAATTGCTGTTTCAGTTATCTTTCAATTATAGGCTGTCTTGTTACCCAGGGCAGGGAGATATAAATTGTACAGCTGTCAGGGCACCTGGCTTGGTGGCCGTTTACATATGTCAGATGAGCTTAATTGATGACCTATACGGACAAAGGGAGGCACAACTTATTTCACGCCTATTTTCATCTGGTTATTGTTTAGTTAATTAATTGTCATGTAAAGGTATATTGAGAGTATCCTGTATGTAACAAGGCAGTTCCATTGTAAGCCTCTGAGCTAGGCACACGTCTACACTTACCTTCAAGTCTAATACAAAATAGTACCATACGATTGGAGTTTATTGTTTGTACTACAGTATCCGGGAATCTGAGGGTAACAATATATATATAAAAAAGTAACAAACAAACATACAATCTCTGAATTCCATTGATATTGCAAGAAAACTGTCTTGGAATCTGACAACAGTACTGATTAGGCAGTAGAAATATGTTCATCTTGAAAAGGAATAAACCAACTTATCTTTTCCAAACATGTTCTCTGTTGATTAAATATTCTTTCCACCCCTTCTTTGAATATGTTCCACCACATATTTGGATCGATATTTTTGTCACTGGTAGTTTATGACCTAGTCATAAACACATATGCGTCTTGCAAAACATTATCTGTAAATGTCATCAGCTGTTAATACGCCTTATTTGATAAAAATATATATAAAAAAGTAACAAACAAACATACAATCTCTGAACTCCATTGATATTGCAAGAAAACTGTCTTGGAATCTGACAACAGTACTGATTAGGCAGTAGAAATACTTATCTTTTCCAAGCATGTTCTTTGTTGATTAAATATTCATTCCACCCCTTCTTTGAATATGTTCCACCACATATTTTGGATTGATATATTTGTCACTGGTAGTTTATGACCTAGTCCCTCTATAATCAAAATATTTTTAGTATACAAAAGTGAAAAGATACTTTTATTCTAAGATGAACACGTTTCTTGATTTTTTTACATATATAATGTAGCAAATGATCCCTAGTTTTGGTTGCATCATAATGATCATTCAATGCATTATTAGTTTGACAACATTCGTCTTTTGGGGGGAAAATCTGACTTTTTGAGAATTTCAGTTTTATGCTCCTACGAAAAACGAACCAAGTGCTCATTTGAATTTTGGTTGGTGTTTTTGTTGTGATAAGATTTAGGTCTTCACCTCACCAAAAGAAAATTGAATTGAAATGAAAGGAGGGGCCATTTTGGAACACAATCCCCTCTTTTGGGTTGTAATTAGTGCTGTCTTTCGGGGCGAAGACTTAGAATAGAGGAGGCAGTATCTCTCTCTCGTTCTCTTGATCGATAAACGAACCCTTTGCCACCTCCTAATGGTATATTTAGTTAGGTGATAAATCTAACAGGAAAAGAAAAATGAAAAGGCCACACCGGATTTAAAACGGGGACTTTCGAAACTCTACACGGACGCTCAGATCAATTTAACTATCTGATCGATGGCGATGCACCCAGTCCAATTCCACTTCAATTTTGTACTAGAAAAGATACCATAGCCTATTGCTATAGTCCAGGCGAGAAGTTGCAGAAAATGTCAGTTTTAACATGCGACTGTTGTGATGTATTTCCAAATTCATGCAAAGTTTCTAGTTTGTTTGTAGAAAGTCTTTGCAATGTCGTTAACCAGCCTCTATATGTCATAAAACTGTCAAAGAGCGTTCACCTTAGTTCCTCAACAACGAAATAGCTTTGTCGTCAACCTGACTTTTTCTTTTTCTTCATGTGTTCGGGAAGAAAACATTGAGTTTGCTCTGTTTAGCTTAACAAACATGCTTCTTTGGGATTCTATTGGCTACGCTCTCTTACATACAGGGGTGCAGAGAACGCAAGCGAGCGTAACTCCAATCCGGTAACACTGCGCAAAGGTAGACCTGCATGTCATCATCGTAACAGTGAAAGAACAGGTTATGGTGACTGGAAATCTCACTTGAGTTTTAGAATATAATTTAAGACACTTTTTTGACTTAGTACTTAATTATTCCTGTGGAACTGCAAATCCGAGGTCGTGTTGTCAAATGTGGTCATCCCTATGGGAAGAATTTGTTACCAGTTGCTTCGATAGGACTAGATCCAGCAGAGGATATCACCGTTACTTTATTGGAGTAATTTGGAATCTTGGAAAAATGCCTTGATCAGTGACTTCGAAGATGGCGGACAAGTCAACAGGACAAGTACTGCCCTGCAGCGATATATGAAGTTCTCGTTAAGATACCGACAGTGTGTTGAATGATGTTTTGTTTAACAAAATATTACATTGCGTGTGGTTTTATTTTGGGATATGATTACATTTTATAAATGAATGCTTCGGTATATTGACAAATGCATCACATGTAATCTTCAACGGAACACTCCTGAAGTTGAACTGGCCATGGCAGGGTGGTTACAAATCGCAATGGCGAGCACATCCGAGATGTTTTCTTCTTTCTACGAACTGTCAATAGTTCCACACATTATAATTACGACTATGACGGCAGAGGCTGAAACAAAAGATCATTATGATTTTAACCATTTAGTTTATATCTTTACATGAAACTATCGAATCTCCTTGCAATATTAGCAAACATCGGATGTTTGTTCTGGAAACTTCTGTTAATACGTTAGTTGACCTCCACACAACTTTAATAGTTCAACTTTTAGACCGAAAACATGTTTATAGTGTTTATGCTGATATTTCTTTCCAGATGATTGTACACTACGCTATTAATTGGTGGCAGAAAATACCTGATTACTTGACTAATGACCAGTACCCATACATTAAATATAACAATTGATACATCAGATGCCAAAAACATTACTATGAATAAAGATATGTTTTTCCCTTATACATATAACAACCCGCTACTCTTCTTCCTGAAGTCGAGGTGGATAATTCTTCATTTATAAATATAATTCAGTGCATATTAGTCCTATTTCCCCAATGATTTTTCCTTCCAAATGAAATCAAAATAATCAAATTGTATTTGAGTCGTCTTATAAATACATGTTTCTATTTCCATGTTGTCCATTACTGCTCCCAAGAGGATGTTCAAACTTTATTGAATGATAAATTATAGTGTAAACAATATTTATTGAAAATGAGGTAGCTCAAATATAATTAAAGGTATGTACAATGATTTGATAACAAGCTTTGTGCTGATGTAACTAAATTGAATCCCTCGACCAAGAAATACTTCAACTGAATTACTAAATTACAATATTCGTTCAATCGTTTTGGAAAAGTAGTCTTTTGATAGGAAAAGTGACGACCGGATGGACAGACAGATGTCATAACATAAGGTTTCATTTATGGTCATCTTTCTAGAAGTTCTCATTTGTGCAGAGTTGTTTGATGACTTCACAGTTTTGTAATTTTTCAGTTAAACCTTTCATCCCTAGGTATCTTTAGTAGACTATACCATACATTGATCTTGATGAGTCTATTATGGTCAACAGTGGTAAAAGGGATAATTATGATTTCGTTGACACTTTGGTACACTTGTCGTGTCCTTGTAACTCGCTGGGCTTAATCACATAATGAGTTTGAGATAAAAGCTGTTAAAGAATCCCTGTTCCACTGCAATGTGGTTTTTTTTTGTATATACAGTAGGCTCCCGCTAATTTCGATTGGAATATTAACTGAGCACAGTTGGAGTACCCAGAAAGGGCCAGGACGCTTGCGTTGGCCAGGTAGCCATCATCGATACTCAAGGGGTAACACTCACTTACGTTCTCTGCAACCGTGGAGTATGTCATGACAATCTCAAAGTCTAATTTGATCCTTCGATACACTTAAAAAGAATTCCGCATTAGCGTAACGGTTAAATGCATCGGCTTTGAAGTCGGTTCTCGCGTCTCTCAAAACTCAGGTATCAGCCCAGTCATTTTTACTGAAACCAATTAAATAGCTAGCCGCGTGTGCCTTCATTTTGGTATAACATATTCCAGGAGTGCAGAGAGCGTTTTCCCTTGAGCATTGAGGATGCCGTGTAGCGTATTCTTCTAGTATGACAGTATGGCATAAGCTTAATTAAATTCCGGTTTGATTTTTACACTCAGATCCTTGTTGTTGTTGATGATTATATTTTGCTTATTTCACCTTAATTAATTTTTTTTTCATAAAAATCCCGCAAGGTATGGTTTTCTTTCAGAAAGGATTTATTAAAGTATTTTCGAAGAACATTTATACTGGAAAACCAGTTTCTAATGCGCAGTTACAGTTATTGACAGTAGTACGGGAATCCTTAATGAAACGATTTCATTTATTATTTTAAGCAGTGAATTCATTTCTCGATGGGCATTAATTGGTCTGTTATCATTTCATTTCATTTCAAATGTATTTTATTGATTAAACAAAAGGATTGAGCAACAGGCTTTGCCTATATAAGCTCTCTCAGTGGCTTCCAGCACACTTTTGATAGTTGAAGACATTGAATACAATATTTACATACATACATTATATTTAAACTCATCTCATAACACTTGGGTACATTTATTGCGAGGTAATATAAATAATTAGGGTGGATTAATATTTTCATGTTTCTACAAAATTACATTATTTCATGTGATACATGGACTTAAGATCATCAACATCGTCACATTGGTTATAGACAACATCATATATTCCGTTTTTCCCCTCCCCCTGGCCCGGAGGCCTTCCCAACTTCTTATTTTGACATCATCGACAACCTTACCTGTATATTTCAGCGGGACAGATCTCCCCGCCTAAGATACTTGATATAGCGACCATGGTCGTTGTGTCTGACAGTATATTGCAGAGAAACGTTAATTCGTCTGATCCACACATCACGCCAATTTCGTCCATGCTCCTATAAATCATTTCACCTTCTGACCTGCAATAAAAATAGTGTAGTGTCATTCAAACATTTTACTGGTGAAAATAATATTTTTTTAAAAGACGGATTTTTTTGTATATGCGGTGCGATATATATTTGATACATTGATTTAAAAAAAATCTTCATAGAAGTAGCAACTTTCTGGATAACTAGGTCGGAAAGTTGCTATTATATATATGTTAAATCGGTTTTCTGGCACTTGCTTTTGATTCGGTGCTAACACATCCTCGATATCCAGGGGTTACGCTCACTTACGCTCTCTGCACCCTTGGAATATGGCATACACAAAGACAGCTGTTTGATTGGTCTCAGGTAACAAAACCTGACCAATCGCTAGGCCGATACCTGTCCTTTGAAGTTTACCGTTACGCGACTGCGAGATTCTTTTGATGCACATCAAATGATCAAACTAGTCTTCTTGTCTCATCAACAAGGTGGCCGACACTGAGCCTTCAATTTTGCCATGACATATTCCAGGGGTGCGGAGAGCGTAAGTGAGCGTAACCCCTGGATATTGAGGATGGTGCTAACAGTAGTTTATACCAATATGACGCGGGGTTGAACGTCTTTTCCTTACATTAACTTATGATGTAATATACCTGCTTTGTGTCATGTTTTAGTTCTGTGGCGTGAATTAAACCGTAGAGGTGTTTGTTTCTGAATATCAGTTTGCGGAAATAGTTCTATCATACCTCTTCACATGCATTTTCAGCTTTAACGTTCTATAGCAATAAATCAAATTAAATGTCAAACTACATATACCTGCACACTTTTTCCCTCTTTTCTTCTGCATTCATATTCACTTCATCATACGCCAGCCATTTCCCATACGTTTCCCTGGATTCCCCGTATACAAACGTCTGTATATAACGTTTGTTGAAACATTCCACCAACGACGGTAGCTCTGAAAATGGTGTAGTTAAGAAACAGGACACAATGAATACTGTTTTATTTTGTTTAACGTCATAGTAACAGCTAAGGTCATTAATTAAGGACGTGCCTCCACGTGTGTCACGCATGGTTACTTGTGTATATGTGTGCTGGGGACAGGGTATGTTAGTGTATTTGCGTTGCCGCGGATCTGGTGCCATTTTAATTACAAGGATCGTTATCTAGGTTTTAAGCAATACAAAATAATTACTAGAGTTCCGAAATAAGGGGGAAATGTGCATATAATACCCACTAGAATGTTACAAATTTCAGCGATGTGGGAAAGGTGCATATAATACCCACTAGAATGTTACACATTTCAGCGACAGGGGAAATGTGCATATAATATTCACTAGAATGTTACAAATTTCAGCGATGTGGGAAAGGTGCATATAATACCCACTAGAATGTTACACATTTCAGCGACAGGGGCAAGGTGTATATAATACCCACTAGAATGTTTCACATTTCAGCGACAGGGGAAAGGTGTATATAATACCCACTAGAATGTTACAAATTTAAGGGATGGGGGAAAGGTGCATATAATACCCACTAGCATGTTACAAATTTAAGGGATAGGGGAAAGGTGCATATAATACCCACTAGAATGTTACAAATTTCAGCGATAGGGAGAGGTGCATATAATTCCCACTAGAATGTTACAAATTTCAGCGATAGGGAAAGGTGCATATAAGGCCCCCTAGAATGTTACAAATTTCAGCGATGTGGGAAAGGTGTATATAATACCCATTATAACGTTATAGATTTAAGCGACAGTGGAAAATGAGCATATAATACCCAATAGGATGTTACAAATTTTAGCGATAGGGAGAAAGGTGCATATAATACCCACTAGAATGTTACACATTTCAGCGATAGGGAAAGGTGCATATAATCCCCACTAGAATGTTACAAATTTCAGCGACAGGGGAAAGGTGCATATAATACCCGCTAGAATGTTACACATTTCAGCGATAGGGAAAGGGGCATATAATACCCACTAGAATGTTACATATTTCAGCGATAGGGAAAGGTGTATATAATACCCACTAGAATGTTACAAATTTCAGCGATAGGGGGAAAGGTGTATATAATACCCACTATATTGTTACAAATTTCAGCGCTAGGGAAAAGTGCATATAATACCCACTAGAATGTTACAAATTTCAGCGATAGGGAAAGGTGCATATAATACCCACTAGAATGTTACACATTTAAGCGATAGGGAAAGGTGTATATAATGCCCACTAGAATGTTACACATTTCAGCGATAGGGGAAAAGTGCATATAATACCCACTAGAACGTTACACATTTCAGCGATAGGGGAAAGGTGCATATAGTACCCACTAGAATGTTACACATTTCAGCGATGTGGGAAAGGTGCATATAATACCCACTAGAATGTTACACATTTCAGCGATAGGGGGAAATGCCCATATAATACCCACTAGGATGTTACAAATTTCAGCGATAGGGGGAAAGGTGCATATAATACCCACTAGAACGTTACACATTTCAGCGATAGGGGAAAGGTGCATATAATACCCACTAGAACGTTACACATTTCAGCGATAGGGGAAAGGTGCATATAATACCCACTAGAACGTTACACATTTCAGCGATAGGGGAAAGGTGCATATAATACCCACTAGAACGTTACACATTTCAGCGATAGGGGAAAGGTGCATATAATACCCACTAGAACGTTACACATTTCAGCGATAGGGGAAAGGTGCATATAATACCCACTAGAACGTTACACATTTCAGCGATAGGGGAAAGGTGCATATAATACCCACTAGAACGTTACACATTTCAGCGATAGGGGAAAGGTGCATATAATACCCACTAGAACGTTACACATTTCAGCGATAGGGGAAAGGTGCATATAATACCCACTAGAACGTTACACATTTCAGCGATAGGGGAAAGGTGCATATAGTACCCACTAGAATGTTACACATTTCAGCGATGTGGGAAAGGTGCATATAATACCCACTAGAATGTAACACATTTCAGCGATAGGGGAAAATGCCCATATAATACCCACTAGGATGTTACAAATTTCAGCGATAGGGGGAAAGGTGCATATAATACCCACTAGAACGTTACACATTTCAGCGATAGGGGAAAGGTGCATATAATACCCACTAGAACGTTACACGTTTCAGCGATAGGGGAAAGGTGCATATAATACCCACTAGAACGTTACACATTACAGAGATAGGGAAAGGGGTATATAATACCCACTAGAACGTTACAAACTGACAAGTTGTTTCTACAACAGATCAATTATTCTTAGTTTAATATCATCACAGAATCCTTCAGCTCTCATTAAACAATATTGTGCATATTATTCGTCTTTGTCCGTTTTGGAGACAAAGCTTGTTCCGTTTTCGGTATAGGTTTACGTTAGATGTTTTCATTAACAGAGCTACGTTAGGCTTAAGCAGGCATTTGTCTACAATATAGTTTGTCGAACATGATTTTTTTTTAATCAAATGAATTTTATCGCTAGAAAGTGCGTAAACCAAGTCGGAGAAGTCGGAAATATCTGCCTGATGGCAACTTACCAGATTTCCCTGGCATTTCACAAAAGGACGTCAGTGCTGCTCTTGATAAATTTGCATACAGTGTAGATTGGAAACCACACTCGAACTCAAGCGCAGCATACTCGTAGCATGTCAAATATTCATTGGCCATCCTGTAAGCATATATCAGAAGAGGGTTCTGATAAATGGGGCACCTGTTTCTACAGAATTCAATAGCATGGCATCATATATGATAAATATCTTTTAGATGGTTTAACGATAGTTTAGACAGACTTGGAATCCCACCCTTTTGGTCCCTTTTATCACATGTGAGTCCTAGAAGGACAGAACAGCTGTATGATAAATTATATTGTAATTCAATGTTTGCATTATGTCTCTATTACAAAATTTTATCACATATCTGTGTATCATACGTTCATCCTTCATAATAATAATAAAATATTGTTTTATTCAGAAAATGCTATAATACAAGATATCAGTATTTTATACATGACATGCAATTATTGTAATCTAGATATGTAGTTAAAAATAGTACACGTACATTATACATGATAAAAACTAAGCAAATTATATATTTGTATTTAAGAAACCTACGCTTACTTCATACATGGCATAAAGTAATCTAAATCTAGAAACGTAGTAGAGATATAGTGCATGTAGATTATGCATGAAAAAACTAAGCAAAATTTAGATACGTAATAAAGAATTAAAGAAAAGAACGGTAACAGTATAGATGATATTGAGAAATCCAAATGTATATATATAGGATCTTACAAGAATTTCCATTTCATATGAGAATTCGTGACGAGTTTCTAAATTTGATATGGAATGAAAACGAGTGTAAGATCCTTTTTATCATATAATCAAGATTTGTGGCATTTATTCGTGCAAAACGACAATTTTCATGCAACCTTGAAATGTAAAAAGACGCCATTTTGACTCCAGTGCATAACAATTGAAACAATTGAAACTATTGAAACTTACAACCAATCACAGGGCTGATAGGTCAAATATGATATGGGTATATTTACTTAATAACACAGTACATAACGTGATTCATATATATATTGATGAGCTACGTACTTGCATATCTCGTTAAATCGGGATGTGCTGAAAAACAGGCCTCGGGAAATGTCACCATGAGCTATGATGAGATTAAAATCAGTTATACACATCAGCGCGGACTTACATTGGTCATACTCGTCCTCGTCCCTTCGGAACAATTTCGGGAGCTTTTGGGCTGCTTCAGAATGTCTTTTCCATAAATCTGTTGCCGAATTCGATTCTGAGATCACTGTCATAATAATGAGAAAGCATTGTTATGCATATCATCGGTATTATATTTATAAATTTAACTTATTTGGTCATAAATGTAATTTACTGAAATAAATATCTGGTTGAATTGTTCTCTTCAATAGATGTTGCCGTCCCGTCTATGTTTAACACTTAATTGCTATTTTCTACAATCAAACAATTTCGATACATAAATTGCTTTTCTATTTGTTAAATATTCCTTTCTTATATCAAATACTTTTTCTATTGATATACATTTTTATCTAGTATATCAAATATGTATTCCATTGGTATTCAAAGTAGTATGTTAAATACATGTTATTGTTATTCTATAGGCTCATGAAATATTTTCTTATTAGGTTGGTAAACAAAAAGATATGCTTAATAAATTACGTACGTATTCTATTAACCACCAAACAATGTGTCTGTACCCAAGATATGTGACATATTAGCATACAAAACAAATTGATTAATTATAAAAAATGAATGAAAAACTTCTTGTTTTGACTTACAAGATAAAGTGTTAATTATATATCGAGTATTGGCTCTATTGGCAGACAAAACAATTTGTTCAATATGTGAAAATGTTGTTTTATCCACATACAAATCGAATTGTTAAATTATATAAAAAAAAACAAAAAAAAAAAACAATCTTGTATTGACTTACAAAATAAAGTGTTAATTATATATTGAGTATTAGTTCTATTGGCAGACAAAACCATTTGTTCAATACATGAAATGTCATTTTATTCGCATACAAATCAAATTATTTGTACTACACTCCACTCCAGTTATATTTGCATTCTAAACAATGCTTAATGTAGTTTGTTTTTATTCGAGTTCAAGTTTAAATCAATCTTACAAGACAAAAACTTCATAATTTAGCGAGCTTCTCTCAATCCAAACGAAAATTATCAAACATTGTACATAAATCATGTATGGATGGGGTGCAACGGGGAGAAGAAGATACATTGGAACTAAATATTGTTAGGCTTACTAAAGTACAAAAATCGACCCCTAAACAAATGAGATTTTAATTTAACATGTGCAAAACATGTGACCAGCTCTAACAATCCAACGAAAGAAGTGACAGCGAAAGAAGTGAAAATTTTAGTTTAGTTTTATAATATCTTCTTTACAAAATTAACAAGAGGCCCAATGGGCCTGCATCGCTCACCTGGTATAAAACTCACACTTGTAACCTTAAAAGTGATCTAAAATAAAGCTACAGGCAAAATATCAGTATTTATGATTAAAATTCGTTCAAAAGACCCTGTTATTTTTTTTTTAAACATTTCACCCCTGTGATTGAAAGTCGAACAAAGTCATTATGTTGAACACATTGTATAGGCTTTCATCTCAGGATGCAACTTGCAAAGTATAAACATCCTGGGACCCATGGTTATTCATAAGAGGTTGTTTAAAGATTTTAAACAAATTTGACCCCTGTGACCTTGAATATAA